GCCAGGGGACTTGCAATGACCCCAGCCAGTTCCTTTAGGACTCTAGGGTGAAGATCATCCGGGACAGCAAAATCCCCCTCCCACCTCCAGCCCCTCCTCCCCCCCTCAATGGCCACAAAGTCCCCCAGCCCACAGCTCTGCTCACCCCACGATGCAGAGCCGTCCTGCCTCGCTTGTCAGCAGCGTCAGCCGTGGACCCCTTCTCCAGCAGGAGGTGGACGCAGTCAACGTGGCCATTCATGATCGCCAGCATCAGCGGGGTTCTGCGGGGGCGGGACCAGTTTCGCAGGACTCCTGGGTTTGGCCCCAGCCCTGTCCAGTGGCTGCAGCAGGGGGATGGGGAGGGACAGCCTCGCCCTTTCCCTCCTCGTGGCCTGTGGTCTGCACACGTGCCCCAAGACAACACGGCCTCCCACCTCAGAGTCCCCCGGGGAACTCACTGGCCATGGATATCCATGACGTCGGCGATGTCAGTCCGCTCCCCGCTGTCAATCAGGAGGTGCAGGGAATCTGTGTTCCCGTTGGCAGCTGGGGGGCATGAGGTGAATTAGGGATGCACAGCAGGGTCACCTGCCCCTGTCCTAGAAAGGGCATGTGGCCACCTCCCATCCTGAGCCAGTTGGTCCCCTCCTAGTCCACACAGAAGGGCCGTCCCCACAGCAGGGGAGGCAGAACGAGGCTGCCCCCAGCCCCTCACCTGCAGCATGGAGAGGCGTCCACTTGCGCTTGCGCTCCTTGACCAGGGCAGAGGCTCCGTGACTGGTGAGCACCTCCACACAGTCCGTGGAGCCATGCTCCGTGGCGAGGTACAGCGCCGTGCGTCCCTTGTGGTCCCGCACATCCAGGTTCACCAGGGTCTCGGCGAGGGTCTTCAGGGCTTCACAGTGACCGTTATAGGCCTGGAGGTGACACGGTCCCTTATAAAAGCATGGCCCTGCCAGCTCCCAGACCTACCCCCACATGCACCAGCCAATGAACCCCCAGAAGCTGCGTGCCTGCCCTGGGAAGCCCCCACACCGAAGCTGCTAATGCCATGACCACCCCAGAGGGGCTGGGGAATGTCCCCACGGGCCTCCAAGGCAGCTGGAGAGTCTCTAGCGGGGAAGTGAGCCCTGCCCTCCACATCCTGCACCATCTCCTTCCCTGCAGCCGCACACCTGTGCTCAGGTAGGTGCCAGAGCCACCACTCACGGCCACAGCAAATGCCCAGTGCCAGCCACAAGGCCCAGCCCGGCCACTCCGCATGGTACTACTCACAGCTAAGTGCAAAGGGCTGACTGGAATGGTGCTTTCCACGTCCTCCAGGCAGTTGAAAGACATTTCCAGGAGCTGCAACAGGAAGCAGGAAACCCTTGAGACCCTGGGGCTCTCAAGACCCAAGAGCTCCACGGCAGTCCCAAGGGCATGGTCCTTGACCCACTCCCCTGCTAGCTCAGGGTCACGGCCTGTCTAGGCCCTATTATATCTGCCAAGGAAGCTGTAGACTTCTGCACAGGGCCTTGCCAGATCTGCCCTCCTCCCCCAGCCCCGTGTGGGCACCCTGCAGCACTCATGAGCTGCACATCACCCTCCTCAGGAGGCTCCTATCTGACCCCCATGTCCCAGCCAGCTGAGGCAGGGCATCCCACTCACCAACTCGAGGTTCTGCCGGTTGCCATAGGCAGCGGCGTAGTGGACTGCGGTATATCCCTGCTTGTCCCGGAGAGAGGGGTCAGCACCATTGTCCAGCAGGAACTCGAGACAGCTGCAGGGACCGGACGAGGGGGGGTCACAGCTGGCCCGGGGCCAGACCCCACCGGCAGGCCAGGAACAAGGAGCACCGGCAAGACTGGGACCTGCTCCTGGATGGATTCATGCCAGGGGCACGCAGATCCCAAATGCCCAGGGAAGGGTCCGGGGGGGTCTGGAGAGAAGCCGGCTCAGGGGTTACTCACAAGAACGCCTCCTTCAGCCTGGACTCCTTGAGTGGCTCCTCATCGGCGTCGTGGCTGTTTCCTGAATGAGTCTCAGCTCTGGAAGGATGGAAGCTGGCGTCAGTCCCCGAGACGGAGGGAACAAGGGGGTTGTGGGGAGGAAGGGGGACAGGCCCCAGTGCCTTTCTACCTCCTGTACGTGTCTGAAGCAGCAGCATAGTGCAGGGGGGTGCAGCCTTTGCAGTCGGCCTCGTTAATACTGGCTCCAGCGGTGACCAGTGTCACCGTACACTGGTAGCTGCCGTTGGCGGCTGCGTAGTGCAATGGAGTCCTGGGGGGAGATGCGAGGTCAGGGCGCCAGCAGCCACGTGGCCCCAATCTGGGCACAGCACTGATGCACGTCTCCCCAGTGTCAGTAGCACCCATAGAGCAGGGGGCCAGGGGCACGTGGGCTCAGGGGATCCAGAAGGGCCCTGGAGACACCGCTGGTTTCCCCAGCCCATGCCCCAGAGACCACCGCAGCACTGGGAAAAGCCCATGGCTCCTGCTGGCACCCATGACTATGTTGGGGGTGGGTCGGTCCCTGCCCCCTCAAAGGGCCGTGGCGCCAGCACTCACCTCCCAAATTTATCTCTCCTTCTCAAGTCAGCACCGCTGCTCAACAGCAAGTTAAGACATTCGACGTTCCTGCGGGAACGCAGCGGGGAGACCCATGAGCCTGGCCAGGCAGGGCCCCGCTGTGCCTGCTCCAAGCCCCCAGCTGTGCCCTCAGACCTGTGGGGCTGGGGCAGGTGATGCAGCCCCCCATAAGTCCCCTTCTGCATGGCTACACAGCTGCCCTGCAAGCACCGGGAGCTGTTGATCCCACCCCAGTGCCCGTGCACAATCCCATAACCGGGTACGTTAAAACAGGTTCCCGCAACACCGGCACAGGAGCGGTGCAGTGGTTTATGCTATGCCGAGGATCCAGGACGCCTGGGTTCCTTCCCCTCCCTCAGCTAGATCCACAGAGCCTGGAGGCAGGTGGCCCAGTGCCAGGACCTGGGGAGGGCACGGCCATGGGCCCCTGGCTCCCCGCAGTGCCACCCACCCTCCGGAAGCAGCAGCGTGGAGGCAGGTCCTGCCAAGGTTGTCGGGCGTGTTGATGTCAAAGCCGGCAGACAGCACGTGCTCGTTGCTCAGCGAGGAGACGATGCTGTACAACTGACCTGCCAGCAGGAGAAACTGAGTCAGGCAGGGACTGCCCTGCCCTGTGACTCCCCCAGGCCACTGCCCTAGGCCCGTCCCTCACCTGAGGAAAGTAGCTTGCGACAACAGTCTGAGAATCCAAAGAGAACAGCTAAGTGCAGAGGGAACATGTCGTGGATCCCACGCCTGCCACAGGGGACAGCAGGGTCAGGAGGACACTGGGAGGATGAAGGAGGAACAGCCCCCACCCCCTGGCCCTATAATATCCCCCCCACCATAACCAGCTCCCCCCATCGTTAACCCTATGCACGGCAGTGCAACCCCCCCAGCCCGAGTTGGAGAGGGGGGTCCAAGCTAGCCTGCTCACCTTGCAGTGTCAGCACCATTCGTCATCAAAGTACTAATTAGCAGCTCGTGGCCGTATCTAGCAGCAACGTGGAGGGGGGTATTGCCGTATTTGTCAGCACAGTCAATCTCGCTGCCTGCAATAGAGAGCGGCAGCTAACAGGGTGGCCGCAGGAGAAGGGAAAGGGTTGGGGGGGAGGTGGAAGAGTGATACTGCTGCTCCCAGCAGGGCAGGGACAGCCCACAGCTCCCTCCTCAAATGTGGGGGGAAAAAGACCTGGTACCCTGATGCCAGCTTAGCGCTGTGGCATCCAGGGCAGGATGGTCACTGCAGGGCAGCCTGGCTGGATCCTCAAGGTTCCCACCCTGGAGATCCAAGATGCAGGTTCCAGGGACTTCCCCATCCCCACAGGGAAGCGCTGGGGCCGGGCAGATGGGGCAGGGGCTGCCCAGGCAGCGAGTGCATCATGGGGGAGACTCCTGGGTGCCTGACTCCCCCTGGAGCCAGGCCAGCAGGGGGGAAGTGGTGGGGTGGGTGGCCACGTACCGTTCTGAATGAGGATCTGGGAGCGCGTGAATCGGCCATGGATGGCAGCCATGTGCAAGGGGCTCTTCCCTTCCTTACTCTGCAAGCGAAGGAAATAGCAGCTGGGGAGGGCAGGGGGAGGGGGTGCACCCCATTCCGCCCTCGAGGGGTCAGCCATCCTTGTGCCCCCTGGCCACCCACTCCTGCACACCTGGAAGTTGACATCGGCACCGTTGTTGACAAGCAGCTCCAGGCACAGGGCCCCATTGGTGGAGACGGCGGCGAAGTGCAGTGGGGTGAAGCCCTTCTCGTTGGGCTGGTTGACGTTGGCGCCACAGTTCACCAGCTCATTGGCCACGGCATCCTGGCCCATGTAGCAGGCGATGTGAAGTGCAGTGTTCCCAAAGGCATTCGGCTCGTCGATCTGCAGCACAGGCCTGGGGTTGGCTTGGGCTGGGGGGTCGGAAAGGGCCCAAATGCCACCCGGCGTGCTCCACCCCACGCCCCAACAGCACTGGGAATTGTGCTCAGGCAGCCCCAGGGACCTGGAGTGTGGTGAAGGTTTAGCACAGGAAGTGAAGCAAAGCCCTGGGGTAAAGCAAGTCAGAGCCAAGGCAAGGCAACTCCCCCGGCTCTTGGGCAGGCGGATACAGCATCTGCAGAAGCCGCCAGGCAGCAGAGATGGGGGTCCCCATCCCCCTAATATACAGGGGCATCTCGGTGGGATCCCACAGCTCCTGGTAGTGTCCCCCGAGCACATGGGCATGGCCAGAGACTGCTTCTCCACGGAGCTCATGTCCCCAGCTGCCACCTCCACCCCCCAGCGCAACCACAGGCCCCACCTCGACACCCAGCCGCAGCAGGTGCTTCACCACCTCGATCTGGCCGCTAGCGGCTGCCGTGTGCAGCAGTGTGTAGCCCTTCTTGTCCTTGCAGGCCACGTCAGCACCACGGGCCACAAGCAGCTTCAGCACCTCCAAGTGGCCTGAGCAGAGAGGAGTGGGGCTGCTAGGAGCTGGGGTCGTGGTAGGCACGAGCCCGCACCACGATCGAGCCACGCAGTGACAGGGCCGCTCATGAGCTCAGGTCCAGCCCACCCAGCAGAGGCCAGGGTGGGGAGAGAGCAGGGGAGGACGTACCTAGGAAGGCGGCCCAGTGG